ATTTATTATTTGAAAAAAATCGTAAATATAAATATATAAAAATTTTTTATTTTTCAAAAATATCAAATAAATGATATGGTAAATACAAATAAGGAAAATTTTAACTACATATTTTGAATATATTATAATAATATAAAATTTCTATATCAAAATTTGAAAATTAATCAATATAAATAATTGATAAATTGTAATATTTATGCATTTTTAGTGCTATTTATTATAAATGCTAATTAAAAAGATAAATATTAATGAAATAAATTAGAAATCTTATAAATATGTAAGCTTATAAATTATTAAAAAATATTGTAAAAAACTTCAAAATATTATTAAATTGAAATAATAATTATATGTTATTTTACATCTTTGCAATGTTTCAACAACATTGCAATATTGACCGATACTAAAATTATACTAATTTTCAATATAAAAATGAGAAATATATTTGTTTTAGAAAGTGTTTCATAATTTGACAAGTTACATTAGTCTGATTGTTCTTGTCAAATATATAGCATCGAAAGCAGAAACGAGAGTCATTACGTGGCGTTGATACGCGCAAGAACGAGATTCGCGAATACGAATACAGTATATAGATATGTTGGCTGCGCAGTCTGAGAAATCAGTGAACGAAGAAAAAAGATTCACGAGACAGAGGCGGGAAAGGCGAAATAGAGAAACGAGGTTCTGTCGCTGATTTGAAAAGTAGATATATCCCGGGTATAATCGCGAAAGCGTACCATGATCACAAATGGACACAATTGCATTATATAATAGATATAATCATACAAAAATAGAAAAAAAGAGCGATGCACTGTATCAAGTTGATAAAAGAGAGGCTGTCTGGAAGAGTATGAAAAGTCAAGAAGCGTGCAGTATACCAAACGAGCTCCTTAAACTGACAAAGCGACACACACGTTAGACGGGCGACGCACGCATCGTTGGCCAATAGGAGTTTGCGATAATGTGACGTCATGAGTTGAAGTACCGTGCGATTGGCTAGGTCTATTATGGCACGGAAAACACGCCACGCAACTACCTATACACATGTTAATTAAATAGGCGATAGTTCTGACGAGATAATGTTCCGTAGAGACTTTTAAACGGGCGTGGTAACGCCAGAAACGCATGGAAAGTAATCAGAAACTTACAGGTATGCCACAACTGTATTCCGGTCACAATGGAAACACGCTGGAACCCACTTTCACGGTAGAAATCAATTTCTTGCAAGAATTTTTGCGATATTATTGCTGTCAAACATGCGACACATGCGGAAAATCACGAGGCACTCGTAAATTTTTTAACAGCGGACGATCTCACAACGTTTTATAATATACGACGGTTATAACCTGATCGATCTAGCGCGTGGCAGAAACATTTTACAAGTGCTAACCACTGCGCATCAACAGCCATGCTTGCTTGGCCACGATTCACGTGTCTGGGGTCCGAGGTATAGACCAATCAAAGCGCGGTTCATGACGTCACCTGGCTGTATCGACCAATGAACGCAGCCCATGTGACGCAGCACTCCGCTGGGCGTGTAAGAGAAGTGTCGAGCTGCTGTATATTGCTCGTTAGTTGGTGCACTTTTTTCGCAATTTTCTCAAGTTTTCTTCAATATCATTGTGAAGAAGGTATTAAATTGAGATCTTGGAGTCAGCCGATATCTTTTACGTGCAGGCTTACCTTCCGGTGGACGCCAGAACGGACGAATATCGCGACAATCGTACACAGCACACCCGACACCCGGCTCGCCCGGGCAAACACTCACTCCGATCTCGGCGGCGTCACCCTCTGCCACCTTTTGTCACGTTCCTTCTCTGTCACATGGATCGGACCTCTACACTGTTGCCACTTTTATTATATAGAAGCATACAGTTCATTGTTTACTTTTGCGCGCGCGCCAAAATCATATCCTGTCACTTTTTCGAAAGCTAATTCTGTTAATTTTCTTAAATTTGTATAAAATATAAATTTTAATATTTTTTTTAAGATTTTTATAATAAAATCGTTTTATTATTTTTCTAAATATTATATAAACTAATAAAAATTTGCATATATTTAAATGATTTAAATCTAATACATTCAATGATTAATCACAGTTTAAAATTATGTATATAAATTGTTTTTATTATTTATTATGTTATACTATGGTTATATTTACAATCGCAAAATTTATTTCTTAAAAATATTCAATTTTCGATATTTTAAAATATATTATATGTTTAATGTTATTTAATGAAAAAAAGTTTCGTATTTAACTTGTACACACACATATATATATATGTATATATATATATATTTATTAAATTTTAGTAATTTTAGTAAAAAAATATGAATAAACAAAAATATTAAACATTATATAATCAATAGTTAAAATTATAATTTATTCTTATTTTAAAAAGAAATATATATATATATATATATATATATATTACGAATTAAGTATTTGTAAAAACTATGAAAATATACTTCTGTACTTAAATACAAAAACATAAAAATTTAGATTCACTAAATAATGAGGATTATTTTTTAATAGAGAGGAGAATAAAATATAAAATATTAGATATTATTAAAAATATTTTACTTTTTATATACATTTTGCATAATATATATATACTATATAGTAATAATATATGGTATAATTATAATATAGTATATATATATATATAGTAGTATATGATATAATTTCAAAAATTTTTGACATGTATTTTTAATTTATTTGTAATTGTTGAAATGACATAAAATTTAATTTACTGCAATCTAATCCTAATTAATAAAATATAATTTCATTTTTTTCCCCACACATATGAAAAATTAACTTTATATTTTTTTTTATAATTTATAATTTAAAAACAAATTCAACAGTACAAAATATATATATATGTATATAATAATTCTAATATATATAATATATATATATATGACTAGAATTTGCACAAAATATTATACACTATATAATTTACATACAGATTTTTGTAAATAATATTATTATGAGATATACTTCACTTATAAATGTGAAGAAATTTATAATAATATATATTATATATTTTCTAATGATTTTTCTAAATTTTTTACTGTATATATATTCTTGATTAATTTGGACAATTTTTTTTTTTCATAATATAGATTCAAAAATATTATTTTGTACTATAATTATTTAAAATTATGTTCAATTTTTATTAAAATATAAAATATCAAGAATATATTACAGTTGAAATGTTAGTACAAATTTAATATTGTTGATTATTAAATACATTTAATAAAAACGTACAAACATAAAAAATAGAGTCATGGAATAGAACAGAATATGTTGCATTATGTTTATACGTATCAGCACCGTTATTTATATTCAACATACAATTTATAAGTCTTTTTTTTTCTTTTTAGCACGTATAATAGTTTATTTTAATCTATTTAATATCTGAATATAAATTATTTTATATTCATATATTATTTTCTGTGAAAAAATAAGAATACTGTAAAGAAAATATTACAAATTTAAAACAGAAAATTCAAAATACAGTTTTATAATTTTTAACATAATACTTCTTTTAGACATAAAATACACAAAATATACACACTAACAGTGTAATATTAATAATTTTCAATATTACTAAAAGAATTATTCTTCATTAGTATTTTTTTAATTATATTACATATAATTTATACTTATTGAGCATAATTAATATTATTTTATTTTAGAATAATAAATAATAATAAATGAAAGATACTAAAAAGAAATAATTGATTAATTTAAATCTATTTTCGACAAAAAAATCATTAAAGAGCAATCAAAAATTAAACAATCCAATAATGTTTTCAGAACACTTAAAATAATTAATACATTATATTGCTTACTTTATGATACTGCAAAAATAAAAGACTACAAATACTTTATTGTTACTATAAAATTGTTTAAACAATTACTTATATTGCAATCAAAGTCAAGAAAAAGCTTTATACATGTTTTACCTTTATGTGTAAGTTATTTATTTTTATTTTTTTTTTCTTAGATACTGTAAATATTATCTAAATAAGAAATAACAATTTTAACTAGATTGCTGTATTAAAGCATTAGTTATCTGCTCAAATTACTAACATAAAGATGTTTAAGTTCTGTCTTTGGTGTATTTTCAAAAAGAGCAGCTCGATTTTGTCCTTCTCCTTTTTTTACCCAATGACCATAAACTCTGAATGCACAACCATCAATAACCTACAACAAAAATGATTTTATTATTATATAATCAATTTATATAACAAATCGAAAAATATAATTAAATAAAAAATAAAATATATATTAAAAAGATAGTATTTTTAAGTAGAAATATAATACCTTTCGTAAAATTTTGATTCTATAAGGATCAGTGCATGCTACTTGAGTTGAAAGAGGTTCAGGTGTATTATGAAGTCGTTTAATGCGAACAACTGCACGTACACAAATTATAGCTAACTGGAATCTTTTTCTTGCATTAAACGACTTTGCCTTTAATTCCTGTACAGAATATAAAGAAAAATAAAAAATCTAAAAATTTTAGGAATATAAACATAATTAAATATTTTTATATCATTTGATGTAACAAGAGTTATTAAACATATTTGATTATTATTAAACATAGCAGTGAATAAATGTTAAATGATATATGTACAATTACATTTAGTGGAAACAAAATATTACATATAATCATAAAATATACAAAAACAACATAATATGTAGTTAAAAAAATTGTTATATAAATTAATATTATTTTTTTTACATGTTCGAAAATGTAATGATTTTTATAAAATTTTTACAAAGATATAAACAATGAGAAAGCTAATATATGTACATATAAAGCTTTAAATATTGAATTTTTCAATAATTTTTCAACATATATAAATAATGCTTTTTTATTAATATTTTATTTGCAATATATTTCATTATTAATTGAATTAATTAATTTTAATTTAATATTATTAATTGACATTTTTATATTTATATTATGCTTTATCTAATATAATGTGAAATATAATGATCAAGTTATGCATATTTATAACTGATATGAACAAATGTATTGCTCCTTAAATAAAAAGAAAATTTTTAATGAAATAATATATTTTATAAACAAAAATAAAAATACAAAAAAAATAAATAGAGATATTATATTGATTAATTTGAAATATTAATAGAAACTAAAATGTTAATTGTTATATGCATATATTATATGAAAATTACGATCAAAAGAACTCACATTTAGAGACAAACAAAATAAAAACAAAAATAAATTACCAAAGCTAACTGAGATATCCTACTTAGACGCCGCGAATTAGATGATAGCGAACGTTTTAAAGGAGCGATGTCTTGATCCCATAGCTGTAATTCCAATAATTTTTTATCATGATATTATGATATCTTTAATTTTATTTTAAAGGAAATTATTTTTAAATTAATTATATATATAAAATTTATTAAATTAATATCAAACAGATTTAATAATGTTTAATATTTTATAAAAACATTAAGTTTTTGAATATTTTGAATATAGATAGTACATATAAAGCAAACAAATAAAAACATAAAAATATGAATATAATATATTTATTTTAAATGCATAAAATAATAGATATCTTTAAAAAATATTACATATTATATTAAATTTTTATATGATAATAACATTATATTTGCATTGTAAATATGCTATACTAAGATACATACCACTGTATGAAAAAATGAATGTTCCAATGCTTCTTTGATACTAATTCTCTTCTTGGGATCAACAACTAATAATTTTCTTATTAAATCTTTGGGAGCCTCTGAAAATATAATAGTAATTTGACTATTATATAAATTTATGAACATTAAAAAATATATTATAAAATAAGATATCTGGCAATATACAAAAAAAACATACATGTAATTGCACCCTATTCATTTATGAAAAAAATGTGCATCATGTTCAAAGATTTGTTAGTAACAACTCTTACCTTTAATATATTTTCCAAATATGAAGCAGCTCACATCAAGATGATATAACTTTTATAGGTGATTATTCAAGGTGATAATACTTTTCTGATATTACCATGGATTTTAATTCATGCTTGTGCATCATTACAATTCAATGACAAAAACTTCCACCTAAAATTTTGTCTGTGTCTTGCACAGATTTGAAAATTTTGCAAAATTTTAACTATTGTACTAGCTTTGACTTTTTAAAAAGACTATTTATATATTTGTTTGTGTACAATAATAATAATTGATTTTGATTGTTAATAAAACAAAAGAAAAATGAATATATAATTCAAAGAATTTCATGTAAATATATATGCATTTTTACTGCTAAAACTGAGCAATATCATTTCCATATGTTTTTAAATTCTTATTGTGTGATTAATAATATATAATAGTATATAAGTGTATTTATCAATTACAATAAAATTGAAATAAAATTCCCTGAAAATGATGCATACATATACATGCATTATGTTAATTAAGCATAAATTTACTCCACATGCCATATGAAACATAAATTATTATTTTTTTTTTTAAAAAGAAATTATATTTTAATAAGCAATAATAAATACCTGTTATGTCTGCCCATTCAGGAGATGTAAATGAATATTTTCCTTCCATAATATTTCTAAGCATAATCATCTGTTTTCTATGCCAGAAAGGAGGACAACCAACTAATAAAGTAAACATAATTACTCCACAGGCCCATCTAAAAAATACCAATATTAATTTCTATCTTTAATAAAATAATTTTTTATTACTTAATTTTATTTATTTAAAAAATAAAAATTTTAATTTTTTTGTTTTCATTATATTTGTTTAAAAAATAAAAATTTTAATTTTTTTATTTTCATTATACATATCATATTTTAAATACTTACATATCAACTTCATGACCATAACCTTCTGCATTTTCAAACATATTACATTTAAGTACTTCTGGTGCTAAATATCCAGGAGTACCGCAAAGATCTAAAAAACATTAATAGTAAATTTCTTCTTAATAATTAAATAATTAATTAATAAAAAATTTTATTTTAATTAATTAATTAATAAAAAAATTTATTTTAATTAAATAATTAATTAATAAAAAAATAATTAATTGATAAAA